TGCCACCCCCGCCCCCGCCGCTCTCGCAGTAGCCCTTTCCCCGCAACCCTCCTGCGTTGCACCGGCAGCGGCGTCCTCCGTTGAGGAGGGCATCGCTGCGCAGAGGCCCCGCGCCGTGGACGCGTCCGCAGGGCCCTCTCAGGGCAGCCGCGACCCTGGCGCAGGCGGACCCACCTCTCCGACCCCTCCCGTGGCCGCCGCGGCAGCGCTACCCGACTGCGTCTTGGACAGTATAAAAACGGTTGGGGCAGACTCTCATTTGGGCGCACCCCCGAGGCAAGTCTTGGAGGAAAATGGGCGAAATGGTCTCGAACCTGTGGACAGATCTCAACATCGATGATCGAGCAGGTCCGGACTTGGGGAGAACCTCAGGGAGAACTCTCGCTTCGGTCTCAGGGTGCACAAGTCAGAAATGATCTCAAATAGGTTTTCGTTGGTAGCTCGGAAAACGTATCATGTTAAGGTACTCTGTGGGTACCTTCCGATAGACCGAGCCTCGCGAATCGAAGAGAACGGATGTGTCATTTGATGTAGTCTCCAAGAATTTCAGAAGCAATCTCGCTCGGCGGCAGAACTACAGCGGTCTGTCCTGGTGCCCTATTGTAAATTACTTTATGTTCAAACACATGGTTGTTTTGTGCGCTTTGTAATTCTGTTCCCTTTTATTTTCGTATCAACTGCATTTACTTATGTACAATCTCTGAGAAAGTACAATGTAATTTACCATTGTATTTTGCATCTATTGTGATAACATTTAGCCTTAAGTCTTAAGTGTGTTGTATTAAGATTTTCTGATACTGAATTGTTTAGACAACCCAATTCACCATCTCTGAACCTTATCAAATTGAGGGATGTTTTATAAAAGACTACAATTGGAATTAAGAAGATATTTTTTTATTCCCAGGTTCACAAAGGAAGGTTTTTGCTTCAGTTACAAAATATAATTTTGAAGAGATTATATCAATTCAAGAATCAAAAACTAATGCATAATGCAGTAATTTATTGCAATTGGTGTACATGTACCCAATATATGTTTTTGTTTTGGCTTGGGTCTTAACGAAATTCTTTAAGTCTATTCTTGCATAGAAAAATACAATTAAAATAAATTTTGACCTTTTTAACATAAATGGTATTAAGACCCTAATCCCCTCCCCCCCCCCCCCAAAAAAAAAAAAACCAAATCAAATATGACATAAAACAAAATACAGAAGTACATACATTACACAAATGATTATACAAGTAAACCTCAGTGGGTTAGAGGTTACACAAAATAGACCAATATACAATTCTGGGGTTGTTGAATAAAGAGTACAAAAATATGGCGGTTGAAATTGTCCAAGGCATATGTGGCAGTTATTGCAGCTCAAGAGTCAAGAGCAAGTTATCAATATCACAATGTTCGATCAAAATCAGAAAAAAAGGGAACATGAGAAATTCAATTGTTTGTTGTATGTACACAAAGGTGAGTATTTCCTACATTTTTGAGATTAAATTCAGCAAGTAGTACCCACGAATCAGTCTTATGGAAATCACCAGGATTTAGGATGAATCTTAGAATAAGATAACATCTTGTACATACGATGCCTTCAAATCTATGTTCGGGCAGCACTGATTTCAAAAAATTAGAACTGTAACATCGTATTGATGTTGAAACAGAGCAAATATCTAAAATTATGAAGTAGTGGATGATTCATTCAATATCCCACCTTTCAATTTAAAACTACACAACACTGAAGCAATATACATTCACGTTTCCCATGGGTTAATGTAAATAATAAACCTACATCCTACCTTATTGCATAAATTAAGCCCTCATTACTCCAAAGAAAAATATTGCAGAAATTAGGGCGGAAAATAAATTACAAAAGATGAATATTACAAAACATTCAAACAAAAAAAGAAAACAGAAAGCAAAAACAAAGAAGAACAGAATATTTAAAAAAAAAATCTTCAGAAGGTGTGATTTCAGCTCTATTTGTATTAATTGAGAATGTTTCAATGGAGCTTCCTCTTCTTTCCTGAAAGACAATAGAAATAGATATAAAAAATAACCCACTGTTCTGACGTGTAAAATTTCATTAGCGATATAAACATGGTTCAAAATTGAGTTACCTTTCTTTTTTCCCTTAGCAGCTGATGATTTCCTCTTTTTTGGGTTTGCTGAAGTTCCAGAGCCACCTTCCAAGACACTTATGTCACCAAACCTAGTTAAGTCATCTCCAAGAGTACCAAGAGTGGTAAGACGGCGAGACTTGTGCTTCTGCTGTTTGCTGACAGGTAAGCGAGTGAAATAGGTTTCTTCATACCTGCAACAATGAGATGGTCATAGATTAAACTTTAAAAAATTAAGAGAATTTGAAGTTTCTGTTAAATACAATTTTATACATACTCTTCCCGTTCTCTGTGTTGACGAGATAATACAGTTTGAGTAGCTGTAGCCTGTGATATTTCTGTTGGCGTGTCCATATACTCCTCTCTTAACTCCTGCATGACAGAGCTCTGCAAAGCTCGTTTTTTGGCCCTTTCTAACTGCTTTTGTTGTCTGGACATTGTTGTCTCATCACCATCTGTGGGAAAAATGTATTCATAACAAGCATACATGCCATAATGTCCAATTTTATACACATTTATTATAGTCACACATACCATAGTGCACAGCTGCAAGTTTGGGAGGGACATAGACACCAGACTTCTTTTTATCCTTGCTTTCTGAGTTTTCATCATCAGAATCATCTCCACTTCCACTGTCCTCATCAGATTCTCCCAACTTGTTAGCAAAGTTCTCAGGATTTGCACGAAACTGGCTAGGATCATTGGCATCAGTCTGTCCAGTGACAGCTGCTTTGACTAACTTATCTATTTGATACTTAAGTTTATGATCAATAGGTCGAATACGCTCAAGCACTGTTCTTATCTCAACCAGGCGGTCTAAGAGAAAAGGGAAAACAAAAAGAGTGAAAACGAACCTGATCTTAAGAAATAACCCAATCCTATAATTTTTTAAATGATTAGAACTTACCAATTGCAGGGTCATTCTCAATTTTATTTCCAGATACCTTCCGCAACACTACATATGTAATGTTGATGAGGTAGCTTAGCAACATATGGTATTTCATTTCAAGAAAGCTCAAACCCTGGAAATATGAACAAAGTTGAATAAGACACGCATGACTAACATTTCAAAATCATAATAATACCAGACAAATTTAAAATTGCTCACAGAATCAGTTGACATCTCCCCCTTCTTCACTTGACTTAACATATTGTCAACAAGCTTTGTCACAGATTCAACACTTTGATTCATCTCACTCAGAAGTTGCATTGCCTGAGGTAAATCTTGTTCTACCATTTCCTCAACTGCCGCAGCCTAGAGAAGAGAATGTTTATAAAATACCAACAATCCTAGAAGAATACACGTACTTTTAAAATTTGAATAGGAATAAAAATTGACAAATCTTCCTGTCCTAACGCCAGATCCTCAATAAAAGTGAATCCATGCAGGGATCCGTGATTAAATTTCAACTAAAACTAGTACAATTATGTCAACCCTATGGGCTAAAATGTTTTAAAGAGGTTGGGTTGGACCTAGCAGACCACAGCAGAACACGAGCAGACAGACGGCGTGTAGCGACACCTTGGCGACACACTTCAACAATATTTTAGAATCAGTACCCACCTGCACCATTTTGAATGGCGTTAGAAACGAAGCCTAGTTCGTCCAGAATAATTGTTGGGGATGAATATAAAAATATTCGGCCAAAAATTAGAAACAAGTTCGAATGTAAACACGAACGCACGCGAAGCGGGCAAGCAGCCGCTCTCGTGGTCCTGTCCTGTCGAGAAATCGACAGCAGACGACCCGTGATTTTTCCCAAAGGCGCAGGGATTGCCAGGCTGTGCAACAGTTCCTCATTCATTGCCGACGGAGAGGAGCGAGGAAGGTTGCACCTTCGACTTGAAGCAAATTCCAGTCACGACTAAACGGGTGTGTTGTGGTTACTGCCAGTGAGACGTAAAGTGAAGTGGCGCACGTAAGGGGATAACAGACGGCTGAAAATTCAAGAGTTATCTAAACGGACCTGTGCCGTGCAAAGTTCTAGGCAAAAGGCAAGGTAAGCAGACGCCTCTTTGAACGCAAATATTTCAATTTATCGTATGTTCTTCAAGGTGTTGTCTCCCGCTGTCTGTGTCATGGATACTACATTCTTTTACAACATGTTATTTATATTCAGCACTATTTCGTTCGCATTTAGATTACCTAATATCACATCCTTAACTTGCCTTTTACACGGCGGGTGTTTTTCCTCCGAAACGATCGTGTGGTTGCAACCATGAATGGGATTTCATCTATCTCGCAGCTGATTGGTCCATTTCTACGTGGTGGGGGGTATAGTGGGCCGGGCTTAGGTTCGATCATGCGCAGTTGCGCGCTTTCTTCGTCGACAGCGCTTTGGCAGTGTATTTGTGTATGCGTTTGAAGGTTTCGAGTGAAGAAGTTTGTATTACGGCAAACTGATATTGTACGCGAGTTGATGCTGTTTCCACCCTTTCCTCCGGGAGAACGGAGGTTTTAGGCTTGTGCTGTGAACTTGGAACCCGTGATAAGGGTCTCTTTGTGAGGTACGCCGACTTTTGGGTTATTTCTCTAGTGGTTGTGGCGCTAATCTTTGCCTTGTTGCAGAGTTGCACGCTCGTGCGTTTATAGCTAATGTTTCTCCAAGTCCTGTTTATTTCACTTGCAGAATTGTTAATGTAATAAGTTTTGTGGTCTTCAACCTGTGTTGTCAATGAATTTTCATCAGTTTTTACGTTGGAATATCTTTTATCGCCGTTCTGAAACGAACACACCTCGAGAACCATTTGGCGTAGTGGGCTCCTTCTCCTATTTTAATTTTGTATTGCTCTTGACAGCTAGACGTTCGTGCAAGCAAATCATTCTGTGTTCTACAGTTCAGATCATGTGGTTTCGTGTTTCATGTGTTTTCTTACAAATGTGTTACACTTCATGTCCGAAAATTATTTCCAAACTCGCAAGCACGCCTTAATGTTGTATGTTATTCGTAACAGCTGATATGGTTCGCTGGTAACACTGATAGATACAAGACATGTCCGAAGATAAAATGTGTATCTTTGTTTTCCTTCTTAAGTACGACCCTTTTACCATTTTCCCAACCACAGACTATGAAGCCGGTTTCGAGACAGATTCGAACTTTGAGTTCACCCTTGGCTTTGCGAAGTTCGGCGTCAAGTTGTTTTGTTGTTGTGTTGTCTTTCCTGAGAACTTCCGCCTCCGCCGTGTGGGTTACATTTTGAGTTCGTCATGTTGGCCTTACTTCTTGTGATTTAAAAGAACTTTGCCGTTGACGCTGTTGATTCTTACGTAGTCTGAGGAAAGGGGGTGTTTTCCTGTAGATTATTTTGCTTTGGCCATTCTAGAAATGTTTTTGCCTGTTACTCTTCCCTCCTTGGATCTTCTGTTACTTTGTTAACGCTGTATGGATAGTAAAACATCAACCACTTACCTCTCGCGCTCAAAAGTAGTGCCTTAAATCTCACGGCCTTCCTTCTCTTGATTTCGGCCGTAGGCGCGTTGCCTCATGATCTGAAGGTAAATTTTGCACGTACTAGTTCGAAATTGTTAAAATAGAGAGAGTAACTAAAACTAAATGTAATTTCACCCCCTTGACCATGAAGTAGTTACATTTGTTGGTCTTATTCTATCCTTGACTTCGCGGGGAGGTTGTTGTCGAGGTGTAAGGCTTCTCGTACGTAAATGTCGTCACCGGTACACCTTCACCGTGTCTGCTAAAGGCACTGTGGTTACTTTTCACTTTACTTTCCTTTCTTGAAAGCCCTATGCGTCTCTTTGCGTAGCGAGTCAATCACCTGCTACATCACTCCTTGACATTTGTTAGTTAGTACATCATGTTTCTTGCGTTTCCACACTTTCTCTGACTGTCCTTTAGGAAAATTAGAGAGTGGTCTCAAGATTCTCCCAGTTTCTTCCTGCCTGCAGGCAGGTGTTGCAAACCAACCATTTAGTTTTCAGAAAATTTGTATCATTTGTCTTTGTTTTATTTCCTTTTTTTGTAACTTTACAGTCCACACATTTTACTTTAAACTGTCAAAGTTATATGTGCCTGCACTACTACTGTCAATATTTTATAATCTAATTGCTGTTGCTTTCTCTTTATTTTTTAAGTATTCTGTATCAGTTACATTATATTCCCTAAATGTGCTGTTCTCTTCTCAGAATTATTTTTGATATTATTTCTTATCTCCAAAATGGAAATTGTTTACCATCTTTGTTCTTTTGCTGATAATATTTTTTTATGCCTCTTTCCAGAATGAATGCTTCTCCCCATCAGCTGTCCCAGAACGAGGGAGGCAGGGAAATCAGTGTCAGTGGAACATTACAATCTCCTTCTGGGCAAATAGTAAGACCTATTTTAACACGAGGACCTGTATCATCTCCTAGTGTTGCCACAACTACAGCTAATGGTAGAGGCTACCCTGTGGTATACCTGAAAATGCAGCAAAGAGAGGTAAATAAAATACCCCACTCACGTTCATTTCATCACATGTTGCAAGTATTTTCTCTATTTCTGTTTTACTTTGCAGCAAATAGTGCCTGTTGTAAGCAGATCAGGCAACTTGATCACTACTGGCTCCAAAATATCTACAGCTCCAAGTGGAAACATATCATTGCCCCCAGGAAACCAATCAGGCTTTGTGACAATTCAAGGGCCTATTAGGTCTGTTTCTCAAACCTCTAACACCCAGACCTCTCAGCCACACATAATAACACTGCCTAAAGTTGCTAACACAACTTTAGCCCTCTCCAATCAGCAGCTGTATGCTCTGCAAAGTGTTTCTGGTTCTAATCAGGCAGCCCCTGTCCAGCAACAGCAATATGTTACAATTCAGGCCCCAATTGTATCCAAAACACAACAAAGTTCAGCCGCATTAAACACTCAAGTGCAGCCGCAATATGTAACAATACGCACCCCTGTACTTGCTCAATCTAGCAGTGGTGCAAGTTCATCACCCCAAAGCCAGTACTTGACAATCCAAGCCCCTGTAGTCCAGTCAAGTGGGCAAAATACTCAATCGCCTACAGCTACTTATTTACCTGTATCTTCTGTTGGGCAAGCAGTTGGGCAAGTAAAATCTCCTGTAACTTATCAGGTTCTCAAGTCAAATGTTAAACCTGATGTGAATGTTGTTTATCCAGGTTTGTATTTTACTTTAATCCATTTACTGTAGCTTTTATCCATCTGTGAATTAATAGCTTCAATTTCCAATTTATTTTCTTGTATTATTTACAGTTTCTGTTTCCAACATTGTGCCATCAAATCAACAGAAAATGATTTTTACTCCAGTTTCAATGATGCCAAAGATTGTAGCTGGAAGCAACTCTATAACTGTCCAAGCAGGCTCAGAATTAGTTTCCAGTGGTTTGAAGCTTAGCACAAACCCTCAATATTCAACAAAAATAATTAATAGCACTGCAGTTAATGTTCTTCAAGGCAAATCTGTTCAAACATTATCTATTCGTAAGGATGGAACTGTAGTACCCTCTGTTGAAGGAGTATCAACTTCCATTAATCAGCCAAAGGTTTTAATGCCTATGGGGGTATCTGTTTCAAATTCTTCCTCCATAAACTCATCTCAAGGTTTCATAAACCTAACCATAGCCAATGGCCACATTCAGCCTGGTAGTGCTTCATTCCCAGGTAAAGTATTGAGCTTAACTCTTGTTAACATATATCTCACTAGCACCTCTTTCTAAAATATGTTATTCAACTTTTAATCTTTACCATAGGTTCTAAAATAGGGCAGAAGAATCCACGCGTTGAGAGAATTCATGTGAATGATGGATCTGACCTTGCTGCTGAACGGCCCAAACAATCAGTGACTCCAAGAAGTAGTGAAAATTCAGTAGATTCTGCCACGCAAGACCAAACAGTAGAGGTGTCTAAACAGTCTAGCTCAATGAATGAGGTCATTGACATCAATTCGCTTCTTTTATCTGGCGGTTCCATCAGAAATGAAGGCCCATCTATTCAAGCTGATAACTGCTTCGACTTAGCAATTTCAGAAAGTAGTGTAGCTGAGTCAAAAGTTCAAGGCAAAACTACTGAGCTGTTAAACCAGGAAGAGACACACAATGAAAGTCCTGCCTCTCCAATCAATCTCTTTTGTGAAGAGGGTGATGTAAGTCCTTCTGCCAGTGTCATTAATTAATGTAAAATCTATTAAGTTTCATTGATGAATTTACACTGTATTCTTTTCATTTTTCAGCTTGCAAATTCTCCTCCAAATGAACCCCCTCATCATAGATATACAATTACAATGACAGATAATCCAGAAGACGATATAAAAATACAGCAAGTTCCAGACGATGGACCAGCAACCACTGCCAACACGTCTCAGTTGGAATGTAGCCCCAAAACGTCTGTAAATTCACAGAAGCCCTTGTTGAAAAAGACCTCTCCAAAGCTACTGACAAAGGCAAACCCATCCTCCAAAGGGCAGTCACTTTTGAGGAATCCTGCTGCGACAACATCATCTCCTAAGACAGCCAAGCCTCCCACTAAAGTCGGAGTGAAATCAATTTTAAAGCCACAGACCAATAAAAAACCTGAAATTAAGACTGAAGTTCCTGAAATTGGAAATGACAGTATGGATGCATTGAATTCTGACACAAAAGACTCACTTGATTGTCCAATCTCACCTTTAACTCCTTCATCTTTTGATGAATTTGATGCTTCTGCTGCTTTAGAATGGAAAAATGGGGTTGGGCTCCTTCCTGGAAGCAACTTGAAGGTAGTACTAGGAATAATGTTTCTTTTCTATACTAAGAAGTAGCACTAGTTTTAATTAAATTTGGTATGATTTCAGTTCCGCATGAATGAGTTTGGTTTGATGGAAATGGTAAGTGATGACGATGACAAGTCAGGAAAGAAAGGAACTGATAAGGACACAAATTCAGACAGTGAAGGTCTCATGATAGATGAGGGCAGCAACAGTAGTGTGGAATGCAAGCCCAACCCAGACATAAAAGAGAAAAAAGGTAAGAAGAGAAAAGTGACTTTCACTTTGAATCCTCCATAGTGCATTAAGCCCTGTTATAACATAAATTGTTGCTGAGTCAAAGCAAAATTTTACTGAAAATTTCATGTTGTAGTGCGTTTACAACGCTTACAACATAAGGTTCCCGCGTACTGATGATTTTGTACAAACGAGGTTCCGTTGTAGCTGTGTGCTAGGAATGATTAGTGATTTGAAACCTTTCACCTCTATTACAGATGTGGCTTCCGATGAAGTATACTGCTGTGAGACATGCAATGTATATGGTTTGGCATCAGAATTTCTCAGTGATCGTTTTTGCACTCAAGCGTGCTCAGCGGCATTTACTGTCAAAAAGGCTTGGCAGTACAGACGTGAACAGGACTTGAGAGCATTACGTTTAAGACGGAAAAAGCGCCGTCTTGAAGCTCAAAGACAAGCAAGAGAAAAGGCAGAGCAAGCATCACAAGACAATGATGGGAAAAGTGGCACACCCCAAATTGTGTCCAAGGTATTGCTTAAATTGCTATTTACTGCTATGTTGTTTTTCATTTTTTTCTCATTTGAGGAGTATTCATTTATTATAAAACCTTCATTTTTTTGTGTGTTCAGCTTATGAAGAAGTTCAAAACAACCACTCAAGAAAGTATGTCAGATGGGGATGACAGTGTCGAGGATCCTGTATCCATGGATTCAAACATGCCTATATCTCCCTCGCCTAGCTTTAATTCTGATAAGTCTCAACAGCAAATTGATGGACTCCATGATGATGCAGGAAAAGTATGTAGTTTATTATTATGTAGAACAATTCTTGTTTGGTGATAACCCTGTTTTTATTGTGCTGTAATACAATTTCTAACAGCTTTTTCTCAACATTACCTATTTCAGAAATTTTCCAAGCATAAAGCAACATCTAATTTTACTTGGTCTAAGTATCTCGATATGGTTAAAGCTAAAGCAGCGCCCTCTAAGCTATTCAAAGACCCTTTCCCATTTGGTAAAAATGGCTTCAAAGCTGGAATGAAACTAGAAGGTATAGATCCTGAGCATCCAGCTTGTTTCTGTGTCTTAACTGTTGCTGAAGTGAAAGGTATGTGGTCATTTTAATTAACAAGGGATAGTCGAATGAACATTATTGCTAAATATGTGTTTGAAATTTCTTTTTTTTAGTCTTGTTAGATTATAAATGGCCTTTTCTTTGACAGGTTATCGCCTAAGATTACACTTTGACGGGTACCCAGATAATTACGATTTTTGGGTGAATGCTGATTCACCAGAAATATTCCAACCAGGTTGGTGTGAGAAGAATGGGCGCCCATTAACACCACCTAAAGGATACCAAACATTTAACTGGACTTCTTATCTCAAGTCATGCAAAGCAATAGCTGCACCTAAAATTCTTTTCAGCAATAAAAGCTCTGCAAGTGTAAGTGCTACAACTTTTTGTTTCTTTGAAAAATGTGCTATCAATCATATCTATCTAAATGCTTTTCTCTTTATTTTTTCTCTTTTAGAGTGTTTGTCCAAACAGCTTTAGAACAGGAATGAAACTAGAAGCAGTTGATAAAAAAAACTCATCCCTAGTTTGTGTTGCATCTATATCCGATGTTGTTGATGGGCGGTGTTTAATTCACTTTGACTCATGGGATGATATGTATGATTACTGGGCTGACCCATCATCACCTTATGTTCACCCCATTGGATGGTGCCGAGATCATGGAGTTACATTAACTCCTCCAAACCGTAAGTCACTTTCAAGTACAGTATAACTGGCTTTACATTTTTTTGAATTTTCTTTATGAACCCTCTTGTCCGCAATTTATTTCACAGAGTACAAAGATCCAAGTGTGTTCTCATGGGACAAATATCTTAAAGAAACAAAAACCCAGGCAGCACCAGCTAGGGCTTTCAAACAAAGATCTGCCAATGGTTTCCGACGTGGTATGCGTCTTGAAGCTGTTGATAAGAGAGTACCTCATCTCATTCGAGTAGCAACAGTTGATGATGTACGTGATCACACTATTCGCATTCGTTTTGATGGCTGGCCAGATCAATACAGTTATTGGGTTGATGATGATAGCCCAGATATTCACCCAGCAGGATGGTGTCTAGAAACAAAGCACCCATTAGAGCCTCCTCTGAGTAAGAATATTTTACAATCTCCTTGTAGTTTTGAATTGTGTGGTCAGTAACTAACAATGTTAATGTTTGTTGTAGGTGAAGAAGATATGAAAGTTACAGCAAGGTGCGGCATTCCAGGGTGCAAAGGTGAAGGCCATATCAAAGGGTCTAGATATTCTTGTCATATCACTCCTCAAAACTGCCCTTACGCACCTGAAAATCTCCACAAAGATGCTCATTTACCTGACAGAATGACAAGTGGCAATGACAGCTTAGGTCTTGAAGAATCTCCTAATTTGTAAGTTAACCGCCATGTGTTCACATATACAAAGAAGCAAAACTAAATTTCAAGTTTAATAAAATTGCCTTCTGTTTTAGATCACATTCAGAAAAGGGAGACTATAGGAAGCCCATGACTCGGCCACCTAGATGGAAACGTCTTCTGAATGATGGAGAAGATAGAGAAGTGAAGAGGTAAACCAATTGTTTGATTACTGTCAAATAATTGATTGAAGAAATTTACTGCAAAATCAAATACAATTTAACTTTGTTGTGTCTAACTTTGGCTATTTGCAGGCAAAGATTATCAGATGAAGATGATGAGTTTGGAAACAAGCCATCTTTAATTTTGAGTATGCAGCAGAAGCTTCAATCAGAATTAGAACGGTCTGTTGTTGATCCTGGATACCAGCTGGAGTCAGGCCCTGGTAGACCAGCATTATGGGTGAAGCATTCACAGCCCCTGCATGATTCACCTATGATAAGAGATGCTGTGAACCCTCAATCCTGGACAATTGAAGATGTTCTTGAGTTTTTGTCATCAATACCTTGTCTAGAAGTTTATGGAAGAGTGTTTAAAGAGCAGGTGAGTCAGATTAAATACATATGAATCACATAGTATTGATTTCTTAAATATAGGATCATTTATATGTTATTATACATTTGTTGCAGGATGTTGATGGAGAGGCATTACTAATGCTCACTCAAACTGAGTTAGTTCATAACATGAAACTAAAATTAGGACATGCAATAAGGTTGTACAATTGTATTGTGATTCTAAGACAGAAGTGCATTTAATAGTAACTTGATATTATTGTTATGATTATTGTTCATTCATTCATGTACTATTCATGAAAATATACCATTTGTTTGGACTCACACTGTACAGTTTTGTAAATGATAATGTTATTGTTAGTTATTAGGTTTCTAAGAAAGCAATTAGGGGGTAAGATTGCTGTGAGTCTTTTGGGGAGAATAATTTAGAACTGTTATTTGTATATTGTTTATTTGTGAAATTTACATGAATTTTTTGTCATGTTAAATTTGTACGCTGTTATATATATATTTGCATGTGCTCAAAGGAACTTTGATTCACAATAATAATGACAGTGCCCGCATAAACTTTGTATTATTAAAGCACCTTTTCCTTCTATCTTCCTTCGTTAAAAAATTCCCTCAAAAAAAAAAAGACGATTTCTGATTTTTACGAGTAATTTCGGCCTGCAACGGGTTCTAGCCCTAGCCTCGTCACAGGCCACAGCCGTTAGCCAACGCGATAGGAAACTACAATCGCAATGACACCCTTTTTGAGGCTAGTCATACGATGCTTATGGCGGGAATTCCTGATACAGGAATCCTGGATAAGCGACAATTAAAGCGACAGCTGGCTTTGTTTATTGTAGCTCGTGAAGTTTAGACAGGAAACATGTCACAGAAGTCAATTACGTAAGTTTATTTATATTCTCCGTTTGGATACTGCGTCATCTTTGTCGATCGTGCATGTCAATGTTTATATTAATTCTATACGACTCCAAAAGCCAATAACCTTAAAAAATGAAATGAGACAATTAATTCTTGATACTATAATTTTGTAATTTCTAGATGTTGTTATTTCTAAATTTTCGTGTTTTTCAGGTCGTTTTTCTCGCGACAACCTTTGCAGAAAAAGGAGAACATTATACAACCTGAGGATGAGAAGTGGTAGGTCGTTAACAGTATCTTATCAATCTTCTCAAGTTAAAATGTCGACACTATTCTTAGTCACAGGAAATTTTAAGTCAGTAGGAGTTTACCGGTTTTTGAGAGGGTTACAACATTCTAGAGTGAATACCCTATATATTCCTCAGTATACAACATGCTACTTTTCAAGCATTTTCAAACATTGGAATGCTTTACTTGAGCCTTGTCGTTACCCTTTACAAGTTCCAATTTTGTCCATGGCATATAGCAGCAAAGGTGGCAGTAGTGCTCCCGTGAAGAGCATCTCAGATTCTGAAGATTCGCCTATCAAAGGAAAGAAACGAAGTAGAAAGCGAGCAATAAGTGACAGTGATGAAGATACTAGGTGACTATCTTTTTTGCTGCATTCTTTTAGAAAGATGCAACTAAGCTATTATCATTTTTACAACTTTTTTTTGCTTTGATAATTTTAGTAATGAATCTCAGAAGCCAGAAATATCTGTTAAGGAGGAGGATAAATCGTCTGAAACAAATATTACTTTACCAAGCACATCTGATCGGAAATCAGGGTCACCTTCCAGGAAAGTTATGAAAAAAATGACAGGCAAGTGAAGATACGAGACTATGTTTACTGCTATTTGTCGCACATATTTCCCAACATTCTTAGATCTTTATATCTTTGTAATTGACAGCTCCTGTAACAAAGGACCCGAATATTGATCGTACCAAACTTCATCCTGCTATTGCTAAAATATTGAAAGGTGGTAATGATTCTGATACAACCACTGATGGAAAGACTTCCCAGCCTGTAGTCAGTACGGAATGTGAAGACAGCAACAGTAAGGATGATTTTACTTTGAAAATGGAGGTTTCTGATTCTGAAGATGGAGATTCTTCAGGAAAATCAAATTTAACTAAACAAACCACTGAAGAAATTGATCCAAAAAGCAAGGAGAAAAGCCATAGTCCCAAAACTCCAAAAACTGCTGATAAAAAGAAATCCCCTAAAGGTTCCAAAGAAACTGGTTCTAAAACACCCAAACGTGTTTCCAAGTCTTCACCAAAAACTCCTAAACCATCTGTCCACAGCTTCTTTAGTAAGCATTTTTCATCTTCTGAATTTTTGAACATTTTTTATCTTTACACATTTAAAAAAAATAATTTATGTACGGTTTCCAGCTACAGTCACTACTTCTGATAAGAAAGAAGTCGGCAGTAACGATGAAGACAAACCAACTGACTCTTCTAAGGACACCACTCCCTCTGAGAAGAAAGTAGGCACCAATCAATCTACAAAAACTCTGCTCTCTTGTAAAAGTAGTGGCCCAGAATCTGATTTCAATCCAGCATCAGGACCATCATATCATCCCATTGATGATGCCTGCTGGAAAAAAGGCGAAAAGTATGCTTATTGAAATTTTATTTCATACATATTGCAAAAAATGTGTTCAGTTATGCATTCAATTTATATTAATTTATTTCTTAGAGTACCCTACATGGCACTAGCAAAGACTATGGAGGCCATTGAGAGTATCACTGCTCGCCTTAAAATAGTTGAAATTCTAGCAAACTATTTCCGCTCTGTGATAGTTTTGTCTCCTGAAGATCTTCTTCCATCTGTGTACCTTTGCCTCAATAAACTTGCCCCAGCTTATGAAGGTAAGCTTGTAGATCTTAAGATTGATTGATATCTATCAGAGTCTAAAATCTTCTTGTCAGGGCATACTTCACCTTACATCTTTTTGGCAGGCCTTGAACTTGGAATAGCTGACCAGTTTTTGATGAAGGCTATAGCACAAACCACTGGTAGAACACTTGCTCAAATTAAAACTGATGCTAAAGATACTGGCGACCTTGGAATTGTAGCTGAGCGTAGTAAAAGCAATCAACGAATGATGTTTCAACCTACAAAATTAACTGTTCGGGCTGTTTATGATAAATTGAAAGATATTGCGCTTATGTCTGGCAAAGAGGTTTGTTATAATTTCTACAGAGTGTTTTTTTACTTCAATTTGATGCTTTAGCTCTAATATCCTTTGTTCTTCTTTCTTCATGTTTAGTCTCAATCAAAGAAAGTGGACAAGGTCCAGGCTATGTTTGTGGCTTGTCGTCAGGTTGAAGCGAGGTTTCTAATTCGCTCCCTTGCAGGAAAGTTGCGTATTGGGCTTGCTGAACAGTCTGTCTTACAGGTAGGCAACTAATCTTATATTTCTACAGTAATTTTTATACTTCAGAAACTAATGAAGTTATGTTTGCAGGCTTTAGGCCAGGCTTGCACAATGACCCCGCCAGCACAAAGCTACCCACCTGAGATAATAAATGCTTGTAAGGGCATGAGCACAGAAAGTTTCAAATCGGCTGTAAACGACCAAGCTTTGATTCTGAAAACAACCTATTGGTAACCAATCCTATGTGTTGAATTTTAAAGAAGTAAGTTGTTATTCATATTTAATTTCTACTCTAATATTTTTGTAATTACAGTGAATGCCCGAATTATGATAAAATAATTCCTGTTCTGCTGGAAGGTGGAATTAAAAGTCTACCAGAACATTGTCACTTGACTCCTGGAATTCCATTGCAACCCATGTTGGCACATCCAACCAAGGGAGTCCAGGAAGTACTCACAAGGTTTGATGGATTGAAATTCACTTGTGAGTGGAAGTATGATGGAGAAAGAGCACAGGTGAGTTGAAGAATAATGGTTCTTTTACAATCATCAGAAAGCAAAAAAACAAAACAGAGCAAACAGGAAAAAAAAAATTGAATTCTTTTTTTCTCCCCAGATTCATATGGACGAAAATGGAAAAGTTTCAATTTACAGTAGAAATCAAGAAAACAATACATCCAAGTACCCTGATATTATTTCAAGACTGGCAACTAGGAAGTGCCTCGGAGACAATGTGAAATCTTTTGTGCTTGACTCTGAAGCTGTAGCATTTGATAAGGAAAAACAGCAAATTCTTCCCTTCCAAATTCTCAGCACTAGAAAAAGAAAGGTTTGAACTTGTGATCAACCTAATATTAATTTTTGGTCATAAAGTAGGATGGTTATGTTTTTATTCTATCTCTGTTTGTCTATTTTCTAGGATGCCAATGAAGATGACATTAAAGTTCATGTATGTGTTTTCATGTTTGATTTACTCTACTTTAATGGAGAGCCATTGGTGAGAAAGACACTGCAGGAACGAAGGAAATTACTCCGGGAAAATTTCAAAGAAGTTGATGAGCAATTCAAATTTGCTTCTAGTGTAGATGTCACTACCATGGAAGAAGTCCAAGAGTATCTTGAGGAATCTGTGAAAGGTTTGTGACCACGAATAAAATGTACTGCTTCATTTTGTATTATATATTTTGTAATACTATACAAATTAATCTTTTGTTTTTAGGTAACTGTGAAGGTTTAATGGTTAAAACTCTAGAGGAAGAAGCAACCTATGAAATTGCAAAACGATCAAGAAATTGGCTAAAGCTTAAAAAGGATTATCTTGAAGGGTGTGGCGACACTTTAGATGTCGTTGTGATTGGGGGCTACTTAGGGCGCGGAAAGCGTACTGGAACTTATGGAGGTTTCCTTCTTGCCTGCTATGACTCTGAAAATGAAGAATATCAAAGTATATGCAAGGTAAAATCTTGGGGAAACAATAATTGTAGCTCTTTTAAATAATCTTCAACAGATTTTGATACCCTTTTTCTTGTTAACCTGCAGATTGGAACAGGATTTAGCGATGAATCTCTAACAGAACACACAGAGTTCTTGAAAAAACATGTGATTCCTAAATCTCGTCCATACTACAGATATGATACCAGCCATGAGCCTGACCATTGGTTTGATGCAGTTCAAGTTTGGGAAATCAAATGTGCTGATCTCTCTCTTTCTCCTGCTCACAGAGCAGCTATTGGAATTGTATGTACATATTTTGTTTACAAAATCGCTTTTTATAATAGATTGCGAATTGTTAACACTAATTTTAAACGGTATTTCTATTTCTAAACAAAAATAGGTTGATCCCGAAAAGGGTATTTCTCTTCGTTTCCCGCGTTTCCTACGAATAAGGGAAGACAAGTCTGTTGAAAACGCCACCTCTGCTAGACAGGTATTTACTTTAGATTTTTATTTTGTTGCATTTTAAGGTGCTATGAGAACATTGAAGATGTCTATGTCTATCATACACTTTTAATCCCTTTTCAGGTAGCGGATTTGTATCTCAATCAAGATCAGATCAAGAATCAGGCCAGTGCAAAGGAGGTAGATGAAGAAGACTTTTATTAACACTCATCAAATAGAGGCGTGTAATCAATTTTACAGTTTCATACATTTTAAATGCAATTCTAGAATAAGTATTTTATTTGCACTCAAAATTAATTTATTAACTTTATTGTTCACATTAATTAAACTATAAGCAAGTACATCTAAATTCAATTATAGTACAAATTCTTTTCCAGTTGCTTGGTACTTTTCCACCACCCATTATTGTATGAAGGTATTCATTGTTTCAGCAAATATGCAATACATTTACCGGTATGTGTCTTACGTTAACTCCATTTCCTGTGTGTGGTTACATTTATCATTCTTTGAGACCTTTATCTTTGGTTTTTGGTGGCTTGGATGAATGTTCTTTGCTTGACTTTTTCAAACCTGTTGTTGAAGTTTCTACTTTTGAAACACTTGAAGTTTGGGAACAATTTTTTAGGCTAGTTTCAGAGGATACTCTAGGTGTCTCTTCATTTAATGCACTATTTTTCTTTACTTCATCGCCACTAGACACTTTGTCTTTCTTTGATTTTTCTCCCTTTCCTCTTTGATTATCTGTTGGTGTTGGTAGTGATGAAATATTTCTTTCTGCATCGGTCTCCAGAGGATTATCAGCTTGGTTTGGTTCACCTTTACTCTTGTTAGACTGATGAGACTCTTTCTCTTCGTGTATTTTGGGTTTGGTTTTAGAACCAGGCTCTGCTTGGGGCACATCAGAAACCAATGTGTTTTCCATTATAACTTGTTGGGCTGATAATCTTTTACTCTTCTGTATGACATCTTTTGAGGGAGAATTTTGGTTCATTACAGTAGTGGAGATAGAGTTGAGTTCTTCATGCATAAACATTTCTGTCATTTTCTCAACCACAATAGCATCATGCTGACTAAGCTGCTTTGGATCTGACTTGTAATCAGAGAACTCTGATCTTTTTTGAAGCTGCTTCCACACCTTCTCTCTAGTGAGACCAAGCGGGGCTTGAAGTAAAGTGGACCAGTCTGGGGACCAGGTCCCCGCCAAAAACTGTAGAAAATCAGTTCAGATTATCAGATGTTCAAACTTTCCCCAAAATAATAATCTCATCAAAACTTTACCTGATCAAATTGGCGGTTACCTATGTGAAACATAGTGTGAAGTAAGGGCCGGGGGGGAATCACTATGTAATCTCCTGCACGACCAATTGCTGCCAAAGTCCACGTAGCATTCTGTTGCATGTATTGATACATGACCTGAGAGAAATAGATAGGAATAGAGCACATTTGATATACAAGAAAATTAAAGCTTTCGCAAGAACTGCACTGGCTCACTTTGAGAGCCTGACGGCCATCGTTCGTAAGAAGTATCTTGGACACAAGTAATTCAGCTGTTGGCAGGGACTCCTCGACTGCTCGCCAATCCCATGTATCAGTCCCCGTACTAGAACAAGGAAGAAAATAAGTGCTCAACGGCGAAAGACCATAGCACTCCGCTCCAAAGCCACCCGCACAGCTCAGCGCAACTCACTATTCCTGGGCGGCGTGAAGGAACTCCTGTATGCCGGGTCGTAGCGATTCGTCCTCGTCCACGCGACAAAGGGCCTCTGCCAGTTGGCCTGCGGCCGCGGCCGCGTGCACACCCAATGCGTGACCGTGGGTGTGGTCGGCAGTGGAGGCGGCGCGCGTCAGCGCCTCGTACAGACCGGCCAGGGCGACCTGCAGCAGCGGGGAGCCGCCCACGGGGTGCACGTCGGCGGGCAGCAGGTCCCCGACCGCAGAGGCCGTGGAGCTCAGCCAGGGTGGCAGGCACGGCGCGAGCTGCGCCAGGCAGGTCAGCGCCAGCGGGAGCAGGTCGCGTGTGGACGCGCCCGCCTGCGCCGAGGCCATGATGGTGGTGACGGTGGCCTGGAGCAGGGGCTGCAGCGGCGTGATGAGCGCGTCCATCCACGGCGGCCGCTGCAGGTTCCACACCTGCCGCCGGTCGAAGGCGCCACCCCACTCTACGACCGGGCCGATGTACGCCGTGGCAGAGGCCGCGGCGGTCTCGGCCGCGCTTGTGGCCAGCGACTCGAGGGCGGGCAGCAAAGAGGCGGACAACGCCTTGGTGCCGCCAACGCAAGCGATGACGTGCACCAGTGCCTTCTCCACCTGCGCGGCCGACACGCCATCGACCGCGTTCTGCGTGCAGTCACCTCTGCAGAGGAAGCGGCCGCACTCGGCCCCACCCTGGGTCTCGGCGCCGACAGTCGCCTTGCCCGTCGGGGTGGCCGGGACGGCGGCGTCGCCCTCCCCGCAGATCAGGCGCCGCAACAACAGCGCCGCGACGCGACAGTTCCGCATCATGAGCACCTGAATGGACCCAAAGCAGGTGTCAGTACGGTTCAGCGGGCTCCGGACTTTGTAGTGGATTCCTCAGGGCAGAAAAAACCCACCCGCAACAGCAGCGGCCACGACGGCTGGGGCTGCGCCAGCAGGACGGCCAACTCCAGGGAGATGGCGGCGCCGTCCTCCAGGTCCAGGTAGGTGCGCGGCCGGCCGCGGAGGTACTGCGGGGACACAAGCTGTACCCAGGGTGCGGGCCCCGCGGGCGCACCGGCCGGGCCCGGGCCGCACAGCCCCTTCCTCATGGCGCGAAGCAGCGCGTCGAGCGGGCAGCCCCTCAGGAGGAGCGTGGTCAGCAGCTCGTGACACTTGGCGTGCACGTCCCGGGTGATCTTGGAGCGCTGCGTCAGCCCTACCAGCTCAGCTGCGTCCGCGCACACGGACACGGCCAACTCGCGCGTGCACAGCAGCATGTTGATGAGGTCCGTGACGAGCAGCGGGGCGCGCGCCGCGCTCGGCTCGGCCGCGGCGTACCTCGCCACCAGGATGGTGAGCGACTCGTTGAGCATGCCGGCGAACACGCGCTGCGCCGTGCGCGGCGGCACCGTGTTCCACAGGTCAGTGCGCGTCCCTATGGCAAAGGAGGGGGTCCTACAGTCCCAGAGGGAAGTCCCGCGGTCCTGCACCGCCAGCCTGCGGCTGCGACCCTGCTTACCCTGCATGTACAGCCACCACATCTGGACCGTGACGGAGCCGCGCTCCCCCTCGAAGAACGGGCGCGTGTTCTCCCAGTGCAACGAGTCGGCGTCCTGCAGCACGTAGAGGGACAGCAGCCGACAGTGCAAGTCGAGTAGACGCTCGGCGAGCGCCTCGGCCATGGAGTGGAACTGCTTCTGACTCGCGTGTAGGGAGAGCCTGGAGGAAGGGAAGGACCAGGTCTGTTGTCAGGCATCGTCGGAGTGCTCCAGGACAGTGACCAGGCGGGTGGCTTTCACCTACCCCTCCTGTCGGGCCTTGACGAGCAGCTGGTGGTAGCACCAGAGCCAGGACCGGAGCAACGCGGCTGCCCCCAAGGTCGCGGCCAAGACGGTGAGGTCGGCGTGGTCAAGCGCCTCCTGGGACAGGGCGTGGAGGTGCTCTAGGATCTGTTCTCCAGACTCGGCCGTCAGCTGGACGAATTCCTTCGGAGCGCTCGTTTTGGCCACGCCTCCGCAGCCGCGCTCCAGCGACGGGTCGGAGGCGGCCACCTCCTGCCCGTTGGAGTCCTGCTCTAGGAGGCCAGACGGCTTACGGAAGGCAGCCTGGTACTCCTCCTCCCACCACAGCACCAGCTTGTAGGCAGCGAACGATGCATAGTGAGGGAAGTCCAACAAGCCTCCAACGACTCCCGGGCACAAAGTTTCATGAAGGACTGCCTGGTTCGCCTATCGACAAGACCGCTAGTTTGGTGTACCTCCGACTTTGACGTTGTTCGTTTGTTTAACTGACAGAATTACCTGGTAGTAAGCCATGTCCCTTTGGAGCAGAATGCGCACTCTGTCCATGAGATTGCCCTCTTCCATTACCTCCATGATGTCAGTGTTCCGTTAAAATTGCCGTTCGGAAAATTGGATTGTTTCACTAGAATCAGGCCAGGCACGTGTATTTGACATTAGTTTATAGAACGCAATAAAATGAGAAGTACTAGCAAGCCAAACAAGATACGTAATCAGAGTGCATGTGCTAGTGTCTGTCTGCCAACAGCAACTTCTGTGTGAGGGAGGGTTATAATAGAAATTGTTAAAAGTTGCACAAAAAGTGTAATATAAAACGAGTGCATGTGTGTTTTATTTCTACAATTCTTTTAAGAAGGAAATAATAAAAAAAAAGCAATTATATATCACAAGTGTAGCATGCTTTTTTGAATTAATTTGAAAAGAAATTACAATACCTATTGTTGCAGAGTGTACTGAGAAAACACCTCACAATATTCTAGACACAACATTTGCAGGACTGCTATAACAAGGTAGCTAATAAAATAATATTTGTATAACAATTGGACTCTGTAAAGGAAATCCTCGGTTACTATTAGTTGGAAAATCCAACATAATTTTTATGACTACATTTTTGGGGGCAACATCACAGTATATTACATAAATCTTCTCACAAAAAAAAAAATATCATTGTTGTTGACTGTGACTGCACTCCTTAAAATCAACTTCTTTTTTGACTATTTTAGTTATTTCTCTGCTAAGGAGTGTATGAAGACCAACACCATCATGGCGGTATACCCAAGCACCTTGAATGTAGTCATAGCGCTTAGGACCACTTGTTGGAGAAGACAGCCAAATCTGTTCATTAGGAGATTGACGATTTATGACGTAAGTACCATATGGCTCTCCAAAATGAATTGTAAGAACACCATCCTATAGCAGATTTAAAATAGATCAAAATGTTAGTAAATGTTAGAAAACAGATGAACATTCAAAAGAGCACGAGGAATCTTTAAACATACGCTATAGTTAACATCTGCCCTCTCAAGATGATCAGAGCTCTCGACAAGTTCTTCAAAATATTCAGTCAAAGATTCAAGCGTTTCGGCACAAACTTCCTCAAATGTGGCTTTGTTTGGAAAACTGAAAGTAAAAAAAATAGTTAAAAGTGAGAATAGTGAGTCATAAATGCATGACACCTGAAAATGAATTACTTCTTACCTTGGGGTTTGAGAGCAATGTCTCACATGTAAATAGAGACCACTATGTAAAGTTGTTGTGCATTCCTCTAACCTAAGAAGTCGCTTTAGTAAAGTGTTACTATGCAAATGTCTCGGAAATATAGGAGACACTTCACGTAAAGACCGCAAACTATGCGTGCACAAAAATCTACGCAGCATGACAATATATATTTAGGTCAAAAACACTAAAGCTGCGAAACTGTTTGTGTCGTTGATGAACACCTTAGCAACCTGCAGGTAGATGCAAGTTATCCAACTTCAAGAAAATCAAAAGTGCCAAGAGCACCTCTGTCATACTTTGTCCACGCGATAGAAATTGGAAGCTGAAATGGTTTTTTTCCCAATACCCAATTCTGGAATTTTGGCCAAATTTTTCTCCAGACACTGTAATAATGTTTGTTTTTGATGTATTGTCTTCGGTTGCTCAGTGCCGATGAGTTTGCCATCATAAATGATTGGAGAGTTTTTCATATCAATTCTTATCATCCATTCTCTGGTCATTTCGCTTTTTGAAAAACATGTTTCCTTCAAGCACACAACTTCAACACTGGACATTCAAAAATGAAGCAGAAATAACACAATATCGTGAAGAGGCGAATGCAAAATTTATCGCAAGACATGGTGCCAATGTACCAGTGAGTGTTAAAAGATGCCCTTATTACCCTAACCTCTAAGTAGTTGTTGTGTTCTATTATCATGTTCATTGGGACAATTTCTGACGTTCGTCAAAAGTGAAATTTAATTTTAGTGAATTAAATCTCACCTTCTTACAAGAACACTTGTGATTTCCTCGTGGTTTTGATTTTAGGAAAGCTTTGTCTCTGCTCCAGTTGTCAATCCCACTTCGAGCCTTCTTTAACTTCCAAACCATCATTTCATGTGTCTTATTTTTCATCTTTATTTACTGATTTTATATTTTACAGCCCGAGGAAATAGCAGAGATATTCCTTACACCTTCCGAAGAACGGATTTTGGTTCACAGTTATGAATCACATTTGCGTGAATTTTGCAAACGTTTCTCTCCTCCCATGCCTCGAGCAGTCATTGGAACAGCATTTCACTACTTTAAAAGGTTCTATGTATTTAATTCTGTGATGGACTATCATCCCAAAGAAATCTTGTAAGTAAACTGCTCAGTTTTATATTCCTATTTCAAAATAACTGTTTTTGTCTGAAATATTTTCTGCCCATCTCATCTTTCAGAGTTACCTGTGTATACCTAGCTGCTAAAGTGGAAGAATTTAATGTTTCAATATCTCAATTTGTTGCCAACGTCAAAGGTGATCGTGAAAAAGCAACTGACATAATTTTGAATAATGAGTTATTATTGATGCAGAGATTACAATACCATCTGACTGTACACAATCCATACAGACCTGTTGAGGGCCTACTGATTGATATCAAAGTAAAAGAACCATGTATAAACCATTTTATAGTTCTATCCTAAGCAACCATAATCTAATCTCAAATATCTTTTCAGACACGAGCCCTACTTAACGATCCAGAACGCCTCAGACCAGCTATTGATGATTTCCTTGATCGTAGCTATTTAACAGATGTATGTATTCTGTTTCCACCTTCACAAGTTGCATTGGCTGCCGTTCTTCAATCAGCAAGTAGCAACCGAGAAAATCTTGATTCATATGTGACGGGAACTCTTCTTGGCACTCCAGGAGCAGAAAAGTTACCTGGATTAATTGATGCAGTTAGAAGTAAGTTTTAGTGTAGTGTATATTTATTTAAAAACAATTGCACGTGTACTAAAACGGATGGTTTATTTCACAGATATTAGGATGATTGTAAAAGCATATGAAACAGTAAACAGGGATATTTTTGGTGCTCTAAATAAGAAGTTGGAGAAATGTAGGAACCAAGAAAACAATCCAGATAGTGCCATGTAAGTGTTAACTTCCTCCTTAAAATATATTAAAAATGAGTCAGTAATTTTTATTACGTAACTCTTCTATATTCCAGATATAAAAAGCGTATGCAAGAACTTCTTGAAGATGAGGATGAGAGGGAAGCTGTGAAGTATGAAAAGATAGCACGACAACAGAGGACTACTGAAGATCAACTTGTTGGAATAACAAGAGTACTTTCGCCTAGTGCTTCATAGTTGTGTTTTCTGGAATATTTCTTCATCAATTCTTAAGACTGCTGTTTTACTCCATATATTGTTTGAAGATCCCTCACAACTGAAAGTTAAGAGGTGCATCTTTGTTGTTTCAACAAATTCTCTAAAGTCCACTTCAACATAAAAATAGTGCTTTGAAGGAAGTTTTTTTTTCCTTCTTATTTTTTGATAGGATAAGACCAAAGACAAGTCAAATTAAAGAAGTGAGACATATTATTTGTTAAGTTAAAATTCTGTTTTACAATTAGCATTCATAGCCAATGATTTAAAGTCTTGTTCCTTCCCTTGTGCCTATTAATGAAGTTTGAAGAGCGTTTTGTACATAATTTTGTTAATAAATTTTTCAAACATGGCCTGTAAAAGTGCTCCTCTAGTCCCCAACAAGACTATCAGCTGCAGGAATTCCCCCTATTAATCTTTTTAAAAGTATCTGCTTAAAATGGTAGACAGAGAAAATGATTCGACTTAGCTGATGTACTGATAAGGTAATTTTTACCAAAAAAAAAAGGCTCTTTGGATGAAAATAATTTAATTGGTTGACAATTTAATTTACACAATAACATAAAAGCCTTAAAAAGAAGTTGCCTAATCTTGACTTGCCATGTCCCTGCGAGATGCACCCTCTGATGCCTGATAAAATAAGACAGTTAGGATTGGTAACTCTCAGGAATGAAGAAAAAAAACAACAACAAAGGTTAAGTTGCAATACCTTTTGGAGTCTATCAATGAAATCAAGTGCATGTGGCAGCAATGGACGGACACTATTGATTTCCATGGTGGTCAGATAATCTAAGCGTGCATGAGATCCACCAGTCTTAATGAAAGTATCAACTGATGATCTGAGCTTGGAGATTCTTACATCCCATAAATCCTATGGCCAAAATTTAACACTCTAAATAAAAACAAAGTATTACGTAACACCTCTCGACAATGGTGGAACATATACCTTAACAGCCATCCGAATTTCCTCCACTCTGGGAATGTCATCATCTACAGCTGATAATAAGAGCTGAGCAACGACCATGTAATGCTCACTGGGCATTTTAGTGAAAAACCTACAAAATATAACACCTGTGGAGTAATTAACAAAATACCAAAGCAGTCAATGAGGAAATTGGCTGCAGAACACCTAAGAAGCTAAAGTGACACGCAGTTTAGACAGCCGAAGACTGCGAGTCTTACCTGTTTGATTTCTCTTCCTCTTTCAATGCTTCCAATTTCTCCACATCTAGCCAGTCTGGAGCAATTATACGACACTTCTGTCTTTGTCTTAGGTTAAGTGCCATCCAGATAGGTACGTTAACAGGCAATCCAGCACGAAAGGGGCCAACGTCCCCTGAAATGAGGTGCACCTCACTGTTGGTGAAGTTGGGAACAATACTGACAAGTTCCTTTTCCGCAATGAATTCAACTTCGCTGGGATCCATTGCGAGTAAGAGTAAATTGCACCTATGTAAACTTGCTCTGCTCTCTGTAAGTAAACAAAAGCCCTGGGCCGGACATCGGACCGGGAGCCCGCTTTCCCGCCGTACTTCGATACACTTCTGCCAACTTCAACTTGACTGTAAATGTTACTGTTTTGATTTGATTTCGAGTGTTTATTTATTGTTTCTTCAATTACTCACAATTTTTTAAAATGTTAGCAAGGTTTAATAATAATGAATGCCATATGAATAAAAATTATTAAAATATATTAATTTCATTAGTGTCAGTTAGTGTTAAAAATTTGATAAGATTGTTTGTACAGTATTTTTTTTTTTTTTAATTTACAATTTATAACATATTGAGGGTGTAGTTCATGTCCCACACAGTATTTTAAAATGTGATGTCACTTGGTATAGAGGAAAAGTCATCCTGCTGTCTTAATCTTTCATGCCACGATCTGTGTGTTATTATAGGGAAGCCAGATGTAATACCACACACAGCAGATGCGAGTCTTGAAAGTCGGTTGCCTACTTCCTCAGGTTTGCTCTGGAAATTAAAGGTTTAATTATAGAAAAGTTTTCTTAGATATTTCGAGGAGTTTAAAAAAAAGGTTGAGAATTATACCTCAAGATTTCCCCAGAGAACATGGAGTTGATATTTGTGTTTCAAATGAACGATTTTGGGCATCAACGATCCAACTGATTGGCTACTATCACAAATAAGGCATATACGATCAAGCAGAAATGCACGATCCAATCGTAATATACTTTCCTCAATCTGAAACAAAAGAATCAGGAGGGTAAGAGGTGATTGCCTCACTTTAAATAAATGTAGACCTAAATAGTTAGGACTTTCACCTCAGTAAGAGCATTTAAACGTTTCAGGTTGACACAGAAAGCCACGAAGTCAACTTGAGGAGGCTCTAACACCTTCAACACTTGGGAGACTGATTCACATGAATAAACTTTGAAACAATTTTCATTTTGATTTCTGACTTCTTGAAAGCCGTTTAATAAACTTTTCAAGTGTGCACCATTGTCTGCAACAAGCTATAAACAAGAATGCAGTTTAATAACAGTACCCAATGTGGAAAAGTTAGGCTATGACAAGCTTTTACACGTCAATGCAAACTGAAACACTTCACGACGTCTTGAAATAAAAATAAATGCTGTTAAATAGCAAAATATGTAAATTTTAAGACGAAAATAGTTATGATATGTGGATAAATTTACCAGTAATGACAGGGAGATGTCAGAGCTTTGACAGAAGTGCACAAATCCCGCCATTGTGTTGTTGTTGACATTCTGTACCACTTTCACGACCTGAAAATCCTAAAACTTTGGCAATATTAAAAAAAAAATTATGATTTTCTTTTAAGATAATTTTGAGACGTAAATAACGACAAGTATTATAATTGCATGTTTTTTCTCTCAATTTAGCAATAGCTGTCGGCTGTTGGCCTAATGCCGAAACTAATGTTGTACGTTTGCACACCTGCCACAGCATCACCGCCAAACTGGCCAAACTTTAAAAGAGTCGGTCGTTGGTTGGTATGGCAACACAAAACCTGTCTGCTCAATAGCTGAGTCAAATGAATGGCAGTAAGTAAATGGTGACAATAAATTTTTATCTAAAGAGAAAATAGTCTGGCAGTAAAAATTTGATACAACAAAGCCGAAGAAAATGGCGGGATTATCTTCAACAGTAAAATATCCGATGAAATTTCCAGGTATTTGAAACAAAACTTTGCAAAAATAATGTTATTCTCATTTTTATCTTTGAAAGTTTTGAAAAACTGATGTTGCATATTTATTTATTTGTTAGCAGACTGTCTTCAGCAGTTGTTTTGTTTTTCTGATATATTTCTGTGTTTTCTGTTTTCTTTTTTTGTAGTAATGCCTGATCGGCTTGATAATCTGCAACTCATTCCGCCACCACCTTCTCGTTTTACTTTGAGCGAATGGTATCTGAACAATACGGGTCGATACCGTGCTGCTGATGATCAGCAGCAGCTGGCAGACCGAATATTGGAAGAGGGATGCCGTATGCGCGGTGAAACTGAAGAACTTGTGAAAACCAACAAGGATGAAGTGGATCACCGTATAGAAGAGAAACTTAAAAACTTGCAGTACCGGCAACATGAGTTAAACAAACAGAGAAAACATCTATGTGTGGAAATAGATGCCTTAGACACATACATGGATCGAATGTATGATTGCCTTGATCATCTCTGCAAAAAACTGACTGAAAACTGTAAAAAGTGTATAAATTTAAGGTCTGTATCAAAAGTCAGTTAGTTCTCTAACTTTTCCCCTCGGCGTTTCTTACAGTGTTGTTGTTTCCAACAGAGAAGGTCGCCTAGGCATTGACCTGGTATTTGATGATGTGGACCGTGAATTAACTAAGGAGTTTGAACTTCTGAAGGGGGTAGAGGCCATGCTTACACGTATGCAAGAACAAACAAAAGAACAAATTCGCCAGCTGAAAGCTTCAAGACACCTCATTGATCGTGAACTACATGATTTGGATGCAGCAATCAAGATAGATGAAGCAAACAGGGATTTGCGAGAGTCAAGCTTAAATCTCAGCTTATACCAGGGCAACCAGCTTCATTCATCGTATGCCTACATCTTTCCCTACGATAATAAAATCAAGTTCTTAATATTCACAAAATCATTTTTTTTTTTTGTTGCTTTAGGGATATTGTTCAAGCTGAAACTGACATGTACTCCCAAATGAACATGGAACAAAGTGCAAAGAGAGTTAATGACGCCCGAATGCTCAAATCCTACATAGATACTCTGCTCACCCAATTGTATGAAGATTCTTGCCAGCAGGGAAATGCAGTAAATGAATCATTTCGACGGCGTATTGATGAAATTAAAGAAGCAAAGACAAAGCTGGAACAACGCCACCATGAGGTTTGGATGAAAATATTAGTGATCATTTTGGTCTCTTTGATCAAGGAAATAATTAGAATTATGGGCTGCATTTGTAGACAGCAAGACAAGCCAACGAGATGACACGCAACATCACAGCACTCCAAAAAGCCATTCAAGAAAAAGAAGGATTTATGGCATTGGCTCATACTAGACTAGGAAATCGTGCACAACGCTTACGAATGGAGCTTTGCAGGTAAAATGTACAGCATACTAGATCTGTATTACTGTACAATCTTAACAACTACCTTTTCTGCAGGGATGATGTTGAGACCAGTCTCATCTCTGAGGTGATGCAAATTCAGGCTGCTGTGACTGAGTTACAAAATCAACTAGCACATGTGAGTTATGCTTTTTTAGTATTTTATTTTGAACCACTTATATTTAAGTCTTAAAAAATATGGAAAACAACCAAAACTTTTTCCCTGAATATTAACTTCTAGGCTGAGGCATCTTTGAGGTACCTCCTCAAAATGCAGATTCAACTGGAAGAAGATATCAATGTTAAAACAAACTCTCTCAAAATAGATGAAGTTGAGTGTCTAACTGTCAGAGATGCCATGGACTACCACAAGTACTGAAATACATCACTCACACAGAGTGAAAAAAAAAAAAGCAGTGATTGACAAAGAAAAAACTTTGATAGAAACAATTTATTTCTTCGGTATAATATATTCTAGAAAATTCTAGAGATAGAAATATAGTATAAGACACCAAAACAATCACAACAATAATCAAGAAACAATGAGGGAAGCCATGAGAAATTGTAAAAACAAGCCACTCCAAAGTCCTCTAATTAAAAAATAATTAAAAAAAAAAAAAACTAGAATAAACTTTTCAATAAACTTCACGACAAGAATCTCATTTGCAAGTTATTCATGGCACATGAGGGGGGGAAAAGGAAGCAGAAAACCATTCCCTATACATCATAAAACATCTTCAATATAGTTAGTTCATAATTTATGGAGAAAAAGATTGCTCAATGGATAATGCTAAAAAATCTAGCACCAAAAAAGATAAAAGGTCATTACCCAATCTTTGGGTTAGCACTTCGTCACACCATTTAAATTTAAACAATGAAATACAGTGAAAGATTAAGAGGAAAGTTTACCTTTGAAGATCTTATGTTAAACTTAAGCTTCAGGAAGGGCTAGACTGCTTATTAATAGTGGACTACCTCCAAATAAAACACTTATATAATTAGCTGGCTATGTTGTTGTTTTTTTACCACTAGTTACTTTACCGTTTCATAAAATTGTCTGCAAAACTCTAGGTCATCTGGATACTCTACTAATTTAAGCATATTTGGAATATAGTACCCATTCCGATAGGTTTCAAAGTAACGGCCAACATCTGGATGCACATTGAAGGTATTAAAATGATGACGAGCTGTCAAAGGCTCCAAATTTTCTGTAAAACAAAAACAAATAAAAACATTGAAATCTATTTTTTTTCTCCCAAGCACTACTGCAGCTGCAAAGATTTAGATAGAGAAATTACCTTGAGCAGCATATCGAATTGTTCCATCAGGTACTAAAACATTGTAGAACGGCTGATTGTCTTTGTCGTTTAAATATTGCACACGCATTTCCTGCTTCCATGCATCAGTTGCAAGACATGTAGTGTCCCAGCCAGTGATAACGCACAAATAATTATAAGTTTTATGAAACATTGACATACCAACAGCAAACTGCACACTAGGTGCTATTTGACGGGTTTGAGGCTGTAAAACAATTAATACTCAAATACATTTTGATAGGGTTAAGTAGAAAATGACTTAATTAAAACAACAAAATAAAGACTTACAACTGGTAGTGGTTTACTCTCAGGTATATACACTTTGAACATTTGAAGGATGTTCTCGGCATGTTTGTGAACGTCACTAGGAAGCTAAAACCAATGAGCAAAAGGTGTTAAATAAAAGTGGCAAAATATGACACCAGATTATACATCAGACTGATTTGACCTCATTAAGTTTTGCACTTACTTCTTCCATTGTTGACATGACACTGTCAATAAGATCAGACACGCTAATATTATAAAGCATGTAAAGCCTTGCTAGGTGCAGAATGTATGTCAGATTTCTTGAATTAATAACAAACATGAGTTCTAATGCACTCCTCAAGTAAGTGCTGTGACCGTTATTCCTCATGCTCATCCTCCCTGCCACTTCAATACCTGCAGTTAGTCTCTCAATAACCTGTAAAACAAGAAAAGCAATTCTTGACCCAGAAATCAAACATGCAGCCAGTCAACTGTATCAAGATATTATTAAATATGTGCCATTAACGCTTTGGGATTATTGTTTTGAAGGGCAGAGAAATGTATAACATATTTTAATTGAGTAGGTACTGCACCTCCATGCATGAGACGCGGCCCTTAGGCAAATGTTGATCTCGGTAGGGACAACCACCACTTCCTGAGTTTCCCATATACGTTTCAGGGCGGATGAGACTTCCAGTATTGAAAGCATCCAAATACACAAGTGGAAAGTCAGGGTTCCTATTATTTTGCATAAAAGAATCCTAAATTACTAAACAGCTTAAATTCTAGAATGTTACAAAACCAAATAACAAAACCAAAAAAAACTCTGACTTGCCTATCACTCTTCCACATCAAAACAAAGTGACCACGATACCAAGGTTCAGTCCTCACACCAAGACGACGGGCAATACATTCAATAATTACATTTAGAGTTATGGGAACTCCCTGTTGTAGTGAGAGTACCTACAAAACAACAAAAATTATAATAACAAAGGTAATTTTTAAGAAAAGGCACAAAAAGTAAACAAGCTTGCAAGAAAGAGACAGGCTTTCCATGCTAATTTGTATGAAAGAGCTTACTTTATCAATTAAATAGTTCTCTCTGTGATGGTAATTTTCTTTGATGCCATGGAAACCAAGATTCCCTATCAGAACATGGTCCATGGCATGCAGAATTTCCATGCACTGTAACGCACTCCACCTGTCACAAAGAAGATTTTCTTTTCCCCACTTCAATCGTTCGTTTGAAGTAGTCTGAAATATTGGGTGATTAGGATTGGATATTTTCAGATGCTCCAGCACAAAACTTGCAAGTTTGTCAAAATGATTTGCTGTTAAACAAAAGAAAGATTTAAACTTTGAACAATACTGATCTCTGTACTACCCAGCCAGATATTGAAAGTTTATTGAATGTCAAAAATTTGTCAAATCTAGGCACATATTTCCATCAAAATCGATGGAATCAACAAATCCTTGACAATCAATTTCCATTCTCCATATGAATGGTTAAATGAAAGTTATTTGATTTTGCCTTGATTTTACCCAAATGTTCAGTAGTTATGTCTGACAAGGGTTGACACCACAGAGACACATATCCCACACCAACTTCCAAGACTTGTTCTTCTTCTGGAAGAGTTTTATATCTCTTCCACTGTTCAGTGAGATACTCTTGGCGAATATATCTCAACAGTTTTTTGGCTTGGTAAATTTGAGATAAGTTAGCATCACTGCGGAAAAAAGCTTGTTAGAGTAATACAGACGGTTTGGTAGTAAACATTGCTTGGTTGTAAAATTTAATAGATAGATAACTTACCCATGAACATCTCTAATCACGCCCATTAGGTGGTCCTTAAAGTAGTAATAAGCAGTTTTGTCCTCCTCCATAATTTTACGAAATGGAGCATAATGAGAATAACAGACTTCACTTTCGACGTACACCTTTGGCCACACATCTTCCATGAGGCCGACAGTAACTTGGACATAATGCACCGCCCGTTTACATTCCGCAAGCCAATCGATTTCTGTTGATTCCAACAACAATTTGTTTGCGTCTGGCCATCTAATGGGAACAAATTGGAAAAAGTCATAACTTAGCATGATCCTACCATGATTGTACACAAAATGATAGTGACAAGTCTAATCTTGAATGAAAATCCACTGAATAATAAGCTGGCATGCAAACCCAAAGGCCTCAAGAGACAAGTATAAAAAGTACCCAATGGTACCTCAGAAGCGAAGTGGACCAAGTTTTCAGATTAAAAGCTACAAACCTCCGCCGATGAAGAATTCGCCAAACATCATTGCAGTCATCGGACACCAAAGCGTTCAATTTATGGCACGTCTGAGCAAGCCTAGACACATCTTTAATCGACAGAGCTGGTAAAATCAGGACACCCCTAATAACTTCAGGGGGTAAATCCAACAAACACGTTGCAGGAAGCTCTTGAGTCTGCATTTTCAAGCCTAAAACACTTTGACCAGCAGAAACAGGCGCAACGTCGTCTGCCATATTTACTTTCTAGCTCTGTCAAAACAAGACCGAAGCGGCCGAAGGATGCTTACGCCAGAGTATGAAAAAATAACAGTAACGCAATTAGGGAAGACATTTAAAATAA